GGCGTGGTCTGCCGATCTGGACGTGAGATGGAAGTCTCGTCCGTAGATGGTGCAGATGACGCGTGCTGTTGACCGGGACGTGAGAACGAGGTCTCTGATGTATCTAGCGTGGGATCCGAGGTAGATGTAGAGATCCCGCTAGAAGGTTTGATAGGTCTAGCATTGAGTCTCAAGTTATCGGGTAGGGCACTGTCATCGACGTGTGCTGGTTTGAGACGATCAATGCTGACGATCTCGACGCGGCCGTGTCGATCAACCTTGAAGGTCTTTTCGTGACGAGAGATCACGTGAAAAGGGCCTTCGTAAGGCTGTTGTAGAGGTTTGCGTACCGAATCTACTCGTATGAAAACATGTGAACAGGTAGATAACTCTCGAGGGAGAGCGACCTGTCGATGTTGTATTCGAGTTGACACCGGAGACAGCGTTCGCATAAATGCAGACAGTCGATGGATGTAGTCTGATTTACCGAAATCCTTACTGCTCCGTGGTGTGAAGAATTCCCCAGGCAGACGCAATGTCGTGCCGTATACAAGTTCAGCGGCGGAACATTGGATATCTGCCTTCAAACTCGTTCTGATGCCTAAGCGAACGAGCGGTAAGGTTTCGTACCAATTGTCGTTTTCGTGTGCTCGGAGAGCACTTTTAAGTTGGCGGTGAAACCTTTCGACTAAACCATTCGATGCTGGATGGTAGGCGGTAGTGCGTATGCGTTCCGTACCAAGCAGCCGGGTCAGTGAGGAGAATAATGCGGACTCAAATTGTTGTCCTCGGTCAGTCGTGACGGTCGAGGGACAACCGTGCAATGCTATCCATCGTTCTACGAAGCGGTGAGCAACTGTCTCCGCCGTGATAGACGTGATGGGAATAGCTTCGGGCCATCTTGTAAAACGGTCAATGCACGTGAGTATGTGATCATACCCATGCGATGGTGGCAATGGTCCTACAATGTCTATATGTACGTGATCAAAGCGAGCATCAGGTGTAGCGAACGTGCCAATGGGGGCAGCTACGTGCCTGTGCACTTTTGATCGTTGACACTGTAAGCATTGCTTTACCCACATACGAACATCTTTATTCATGGACGGCCAGACGTATCGTGCAGCGATGAGACGTAATGTGGCTGCGATACCTGGATGAGACAATCCATGAAGGGCATCAAAGACGAGACGGCGATAGGTAGAGGGTACGATGGGTCGAGGAAGACCGGTAGAAATATCACATAGGATAGTACCTGAGCTAGTAGCTAGGGGTACTTCCTGACACTGAAGGGACGAAGATTGTGGTGCTTCTGTACAGACAGGATCGTTTGCTTGTGCGGCGGCCATAGCAGCAAGATCGAGCACCGGTAAAGTAACTGCATTCGTCTGGATACGTGAAAGAGCATCGGCAACATAGTTCGACTCGCCTTTAATGTGACGAAGGTCTGTCGTGAACTGTGAGATATAGTCCAAATGTCTGCACTCTCGTGGTGAGTAGCGGTCAGACTTGGTATGTAGGGCATACGTTAAGGGCTTATGGTCGGTGAATAAGATGAATTGACGTCCTTCTACTGCGTGCCGGAAATGTTTGATGGCGCAGTAGGCTGCAAGCAGCTCGTGACCAAAAGCGCTATATCTCGTCTCCGTGGGAGTAAGGCGTCGTGAGAAAAATTCAAGCGGTTGCCAACTACCGGAGATATTCTGTTGCATAACGGCTCCTATAGCGAAATCTGATGCATCAACCGCTATACTAAGCGTGGCTGATGGGTCAGGATGAGCGAGAAATGTAACTTCAGCGAGAGCCGTTTTGATCTCTGAGAATGCAGTACGTGCGGTATCGTTCAGTTCTAATTTGCGTGGATTACCGCGTAGTAAATCGGTTAATGGTCGTAACCGTTCTGCCGCGTGAGGGATAAAACGTCGGTAGAAGTTAACCAAACCGAGAAAAGCCTTCAGTTCCTTGATTGAGGACGGCACGTTGTACTCCTTGATTGCTCGAATTTTGTCCTCGCAAGGCAGAATACCCTCTTGTCTGATGATGTGACCCAGAAATATTATTTCTGATTTACCCAATTCCCATTTCTCTGGGTTGACTACTATTCCATTATCCGAAAGACGTTGGAATAATAGCGTAAGGTGTTGATAATGTTCATCTACGTTTGATGATGCGATCAGCAGGTCATCAATATAGACGTGAACAAAATCCAAGTCTCGTACTATGCTATCGATAAACCTTTGGAAAGTTTGAGCAGCATTCCGTAATCCAAATGGCATTCGTAGGAACTCAAACAGACCGAAAGGAGTCGTGATAGCAGTTTTCTCGATGTCTTCAAGAGCGACTGGGATCTGGTGATATGCTCGTACCAGATCGATTTTAGAAAAGATAGTCGTGCCCTTGAGCGATGCCGTGATGTCGTGTATGTGGGGGATGGGGTAGCTATCAAAGCGCGTAACTACGTTTAATGCTCGGTAGTCGCCGCATGGTCTCCAACTAACCCCATCCTTTTTGCTCACCATGTGTAAAGGAGAGGCCCAAGGACTGTGAGAAGGACGAATAATACCAGTAGATAGTAAATTGTCAAACTCACGTTTAGCGAAAGCTAATTTGTCCGATGCCAGTCGGCGTGGTCTTGCCGTGACTGGTGGTCCGCGGGTGACTATGTGGTGTACCACACGATTGGTCACCGATGAAATCTCCTCGAGTGGTTTAATTATTCTGGGGAATTTCTCGAATAAGGCGTGGAATTTATCGTCACGCGAATAAAAAGTGCCGAGGATTCGGTACGCGTACATCGGAGTCTATTATATTAATACTATTCTTATCGTTATCCGTCATGTCAAATATATATATTAAAAATTAATATGAAAATATATGACAGACGTGGATAGATAAAACAATAGACTCACCGAATTGCCTTCTTTGAAAGATTTGACCGAGGTTGAGGCGTGTTCCAATAGTTGGCTCACCAAATGTAGCGTGGTGTCGAGTTGAGCTTGACTAAGAACACCGCTACCAGACTACTTGCCAATAGACCAATAAAATTCCGATAGGCCAAAATATCAGAAGGCAGATGATTGTAGTAGTCGTATATATTTGTTGGCGATCTCGTGGTATCGAAAGAATACCGAGATCGTGCCAAAGGAGTACAGTTGCGATCGGCAAGATAAGATACGTGCGTAGTCCAAAAACCGCGTAAAAGCAATGGAATACAATGGAAGCCCAAAATGGCTGTTATTAGCACAGTTAAACAAACGAGCACAGTAAAACAGTCACTGGTACAATTGGTTATAATAATAATTGTTTTCATCGAACCAATCGTGTTCTGTTGACAAAAGTAGGTCACTACAAGTTACTCCTGTCACGTTACCAATTATTTACTTTATATATTCAAAAAGCTCAAAATGTATAATTCGCGTCTATGATTTCGGTATCATCAAAAGTCACTTAACTCAATGGCTGATAAACACGTCACCTTCATGAAAAAATCATGACTATAGTCATCGTGCCACAATAAATTCTTAGAAGACTACATACTTTACAATTTCCGTCTTTTCCGCGACTCGAATGCATAGCTTGAATTTCTGTGGTATGTAGATCGAAAACTTTCTCTGTATGAATGAATATTTATCCATGTTTTAAGGGTTTACTGGAGTATGAGGTATTTTTCATTCCTCTTGCTGACTGCAAATAATGTCGACGAAGAATGAAAAACATTGATATTTGATTGACTTTATATATATATATATATATATATATATATATATATATATATACTTAATCCCGCCAAGGAGCAACGGAATTACATAAGTCCAATACAAGAGTGCTTGATAGTCACATATCTCATACATTCAATAACGCAGATATATTTTAAGAAACTCTAACCAAAGAAGCAAAACCTGCCTATTCAGTATATAATGGGTGACTAACTTTTCACATATGGTGAATATTGTGTAAGTTACAGATAACTGATTAGAAAGTAAATGGTAGAAGCATGTAAGGCAAGTACACACAAAAACGCACGTAAATACAGTGAATGTGGTATAACGAGACTAGAAAGCAAAATTAGATTCTTTCACTTATTCCGATTTTTCTTAAACATTGCTTCCGTTTCAATTCAGAGTGATGAATAATCAGTGTAGTACGTGTTTCGTTTTCCAGAGTGATATTTTGTTCGGCGTAACATGAACTTCTTTCAGTGCGATATTTTTTTCGAGACAAGATATTCTTCCATTAAACTGACACAAACTATCCTCAGCATGAGATGTAGCATGCAATTTTTATAACTAATTATTTTTCATGTATGCGATTTCATCCTAATTAATAATCAAAATGGGTCGCCGTTGTGTTTTTGGGCTTAAAAAATCCTTACTTATATCAATCCTTGTGTTCTTACTTCGCGTCTTACTCGTTTCATTAGTATGAGTGATTCCGACATAACAAACTGGCGAATCAGTCATAATAGAACGAGGTCACGAGTGACAAATGTACGTAAGAACGTTACGCAAGAAGTGTTACGTGTTTTCCAGATGACGAGTCATTTATTAAGTAGGCTTTTATATATTTTTTGAGTTAATATATCCTTGGGATTGATTGACTGATTTGAGCTTTGTATTGAGATTTTGAATCTTGAGACGTGTAATGAAATCACAAAGACTGATGGTAAGAATATATTTGACCTTCAGTGTAAATCAAACCGGTATCCATACACATCAATTCTATATGACTCGTTTACAGTTTAGTGTTTCACTTATATTCACGGTTCTCACTAAATGCTTCCATTTAAGCCCTAACCTTCACTCTATTTGTTTTTTTTTCATCCTGCAAGTTGTAATGCGTTACAATGGCTGTTGCGTAAGAGAAATGCTTAGGTAGTTTTTAATGTTTGGATTTAAATTTTGAGTGGGAGTTATGTTGTTGTCTTCGTCACTTATCCATTAAACTAGTAGAACTTCTGGAAAATGTTAAATGTTGTGCTCTGGATTGCTTTTCGAATGTGAACACCCGCCATAAACTCAGCCGTTCAAGGCTATTAGATCTGGGGGGTGGGCTGGGCGGTATATATTGTGTACTTTCCCACTGTACTCCTATAAATGTCGATTAAAGGTGGGGATCGGTTGACTTATTTTATGGCTCATGTCCGGGACTTCCTTATTGGAAGGGGATATAATAATGCTCTTAGATATTCTGAACAATGCTCTAAACGGACTCAACCACTTGCTTATCCTCCCAATGGCATAAATGACAAAATATCACATAATGATTACTTTGCTCGAGATGGGCGACGCGAAGTTAAGAAATCTGTTGATATTTATGTTTCTGGCCTGAAAAGGCTTGAAGCTGGGTCAGAGTGAGTTTCGTCATTTGTCACTTACGTTTATATTTGATTTAAAGAATTTAATTAACACTCTCAAGTGGTTGAACTCTGACACCATGTGCTCAACATCATGTAAAACGTAGGCCGCTAATGAGGTATGAAACTAACAGCCACGTTACATTTAATCTGATTGTCTTTATAACTAGTATGCTTGTACTAGCTAACTTCGACCTTAATTCATATTGTTTTTGATTCCTAGTTCTTTCATTTCAGTCACCCCCTTGGTTCTTATGAAAATCCGTACTGCAATTATCCATTTTATCACCAAGTGTGTGCGCTTTTTAAGCTGTCGATTATTTCCAAATTAAATCTACTTGGTGTGATGCCTTCACATTAGTTTTGAAATCGAGTTTATAAATTGAGATGCCTTTCATATTACTTTTATATATTTTTGATTATTCTTATCAATATTGTTTGTAGGAACATTTTTAACATCAACAATTAGGGATAGCTACTCTGAACTAGTAATTGATATTCTGAAATCGTCCTTATTGCGAAATGGAGACTCAATCAGTGGATTCTACCCATGATAACTAGTTCAAATACTTACCACTAAACTCTGCACACGGATCATTCCTTACTAATAGATTCAATCACTTGTTATTCCTGTGTGTACATTCATGTACTGGAAACAAAAATAACTGATTTGTGTAGTAAGGACAGAAGGCCTACGGCATCCGAGTTTTATCGGATACTTCCTGATCGCTAATATGTATTTTCCAGACTCTTCTGGATTACGAATTATTAGGTTACCTAACGGTTTGTTGATCTTTCTACTGTCTTAGAGGGATATTTAATATTAATAAAATAAATTGGTGATTTTTGAATGACGCGGAAAACAGCAAATTAGCGCAACTCAGTACCCAAGTACATTTTTGTACATTAGGATATGACCAACTTTGTGATTATCAATGCTGCAAGCCTGGTCAAATAAAAGTAGATAGAGAGGAATCTCAAACCTACAACTTGTCGTTGGAAGTCAGGTTCTCTAACCGCCAACCTGTCATGAGCCTCAATATATTTTAAAAACGATAGGACTGAATTTGTTAGCATTTAATTATATGTATGTTGATAAACGCTATGTACTTGAGCTATTACAGACAGTTTAGTTGGTACTATGATTAAGTCACCAAGTGTTGTTTTTATGTGCTTAAAATGCAGTAACCTCACATTTCAGTGTTATTTTTACGTGTGGTTTACACCATCTTCCTAAGTATCTAGAACTGAACTTTAAGTAGCTTGCCATGATTCCCTCTAGTGATTCACTTCATTTTAATCCTTTTTTGTTGGGCCCACTATTTACAGTAAAACATTTCTTCATTCAGATCTAGTATAAAATCCATAGTGTATGCCTTTGTGTCAAAAGGGGTATTTTTGTGTAGTCCTGAAGTAGTGCCTTTTAGTCGTGATAAGTTCATGGTGTAGGCGCCAATTATTTCTAGATATTCAGTGGATTCGTAATTTAGTGTGTTAACTAACTTAAACATTACTTGAATGGTTACTGTTCCAAGCTGTTGCTTATGTGCACAGTACATACCCATTAAGAGGAAAAGGCATAATTTGTAGTGTTAAAGAACTTTTGTATCATTCTGAAATAACGTAAGAACTGTGACACATTGTTCCGTAAACATTTCACTTTTCTTCAGGGCGTATTGTGATTAGTAATGGGTTAGTAAATTGGGTGCCACAAGTCCTCAATGGTGAAACTTGATTTTATGGGCAGTATATTCGTCTCGGTTGAATTTATTAGTTGAAGATTGAGGCAGCTGACATGTATTTCACTGTCACTATGATGAATATTAAGGTGTTTTTTGTCATTTTTGCTATATGCGGACAACTATCTACTGTGTTATAAACTGCACTCTCAATCTTACATACACTTATGTCGATCAATCTCATTTTTCTTTTAGTTTACGTTTACTTTCTGTGGCTGATATCTCACATGTAAATAGGTAAAATTATATCGTATTTCATTTTTCAGGTCTAAACGTCCAAATGTTCTATCAAAGTCGGTTGGTGTTGTCCCGGGACAAAAGTTTAACTGGGACAAACCAGTAGGATTGAAATGAACTAGATCATTTGGCTTCTCTCGCTCCAACTATTCAGTAGTTGAGTACATAACGTGATTTAGATTCGTTTCACCCAACGTAAAGTGCTTTTTCTTGTTTTAGACTTCATCCACTAAGTATTACATAGCCCTTTGTTACTCGTAGTAACGTAAAATATATGTACATTTCATACTTTGGTCTCGCCTCTTCTGTGCATTGTTATTGTTAGTGGTTTTGATGATACCTAATTTACGTCCATCCAAGGCATGAATTTGACGTTTGTTGATTGCCTTTGTTAATAAAATAGTAAAAGTGTCTTTCGTAGTATCTAATTTCCCAAGACAATTTTTTTTCGAGATTCAGAATGCTAATGACCATTTTCCTTTTATTTAAAGTATTATATGGGCGGTCGGTTACTGATGTATTGTTTATTTCACTCTATATATCTGGGCAAACTATTTCAGATCTTAACAATAATTTTTCAGTTGAAAATTCAACGCTGTTTTGAGAAATACCATCTAAAGTGTCCAACCATTGACTAACTTCACATCCAAAACCTCATTTGGAAAGCTTGAATCACTTTGCATGGTTCAGGACAATAGTCGATGAATGTACAGACTTATTTCACAACTAACCTGGTTGCCTCCACCCTGTGTAAAACCTATTCGTACATTAGACAGGTTAGCGCTCAACGTGGTTGATGGCTGGGGACTGACAGAGTGTATCCGACTGTGATATTCATTAAAATAGTATCAGATTCTGTTATCCTTTGGATGGTTTAATAAAAATTAATATTGACTTCTCGATTCGAAGTAGATTATCCGTTTTTTAAACAATAGTCGTGGGTCCTAGATTATTAAGTATAACATTGCTAAACAAGTTTCTGATACCAAACATAATTAATTAGAGGGACCACGTCACCATAACATTGCTGAACGGCTGGATAGATGTTAAAAAAGTGTGTAGTAATTCTCAAACCAAGTTGTCACATCTTCGTGAAATATAGCTGAAAAGATACATAGACAGACAGTCATTATTAACAGGTGTGCTCTGGCCAAAGTTTCCATAAGTGATCAACACTAGATGAAAATAAAAAGATATCGAAACAATATGGTCGTGGTATTAAGAATGAGGACTAGACTATGGGAATGTGATTTGAAAAGAATGTGGGAAGCGGGATCATGAATTTCAAGATTTCAGGAATAAAGAGTGAATGCATCTGCGTCACTGTGAAGGATTCCCAGCCATATCATCCAGATTCTGTAACCCCTGGTAGCTGTTATCACGCGAATACTAACCAGGTAGTCTGAACCTATCTACAGGGTTCAGATCAACAGTCAGTGACTTCATGAATTGATGCTAATTTTGGTTTTAGCGCCCCTAGCTTTCTTTCAACCTATTTCTGCACTGGTGAGCATCGCTTGTCGCGATAGGCAGTATTTTGGACATGTCGCAACCAACACAGTTGACGGAGATTCACTATCTCATCAACCAATTTACTGCCTTTTCCAAGTAGCTTTACCTGATTTCAACATTGCTTATTCGGTCGTCTCACGAAACGAAAGGAATGCTTTGAAGGCACCTATCTTCATAAATTTTTATCCTACGTATGTATACTACTTCGTAGATCATGTTTCTCAGCAATAAGGTGAAACGGAGCGGACCTGTTGTCATTTTCTTTTCCTTTCACTAGCCACTAACGATCGCTGTGTGGGTTTTTGTTAGTTTATACTTGAGTTGTCGTTGCTCTTTATCGTTCTCCGAGGAGACGAAATGAGTTTTCGAGTTTCTATAAACTCACTTGGTTCCACTGGTCTTTCCTAACTTTTATTTTAAGCTGTTAGTGAATGTCAATACGGTATTTGCAGATCCTATTTTAAGGTTTTTCAGAATGAACTGTTTCTCTGCGATCGACTAAGTTCCTAGCTAATTCTTTCATAAATGCATCCTTCCCTGTTCCATATTCGAATTGATATCTAAGGCATCTTCTTGCTGTGCATTCCCTACGTCTAGCAAAACGTATGGTAATACATGCTCTCACTTGGATGTGGTCAGAGTTCAAGCATTTACCTCAGTGAGAGCAGCAGTCTCCTATAGAGCTTCTTCAACAATGGCTGATGGTGATACGATCTATCTATATCCTTTGTTGTGTTGATATTGGGAGTCGCCATGTTAGACAATGTCTTTACATATGCTTAAAGTTTGCACCTGCTAGGAATAATTGATTGAGCGAAATTGCAGCAGGCGGTTATCGTTAGGCTGGGACTCCATAAGATCCATTAAAATTTTTTTGAGTTTGACTCAACCAACCAATTTGGGTGTTAAAAATCGCCTGTTACGACTACTGCATCTAAGGCTGTAACTTTTTGAAGGTCATAAATTTTTCTATAAGACTCGTCTACTCTATCTGAGCTGCAGTCAGTGGTGCTACTGGCCGAAACGATAAAGAGGCAGTGACGCGTGTCTCTATCTTAAGTTGTTTTTATGCCATTGAGATGGACAGTACATAAGTAATTGGCGACAAGAAGTCCCTATCCAGGTTCCTAATACGGTGCTGTACTTACTCCGGCAAGACTACGAGTTGCTGTCGCGTCTCTGAATACACGAAGGGTATATCGCGTCGGTTTTCCATACTGTTATTTTTACGTGTGGTTTACACCATCTTCCTAAGTATCTAGAACTGAACTTTAAGTAGCTTGCCATGATTCCCTCTAGTGATTCACTTCATTTTAATCCTTTTTTGTTGGGCCCACTATTTACAGTAAAACATTTCTTCATTCAGATCTAGTATAAAATCCATAGTGTATGCCTTTGTGTCGAAAGGGGTATTTTTTGTGTAGTCCTGAAGTAGTGCCTTTTAGTCGTGATAAGTTCATGGTGTAGGCGCCAATTATTTCTAGATATTCAGTGGATTCGTAATTTAGTGTGTTAACTAACTTAAACATTACTTGAATGGTTACTGTTCCAAGCTGTTGCTTATGTGCACAGTACATACCCATTAAGAGGAAAAGGCATAATTTGTAGTGTTAAAGAACTTTTGTATCATTCTGAAATAACGTAAGAACTGTGACACATTGTTCCGTAAACATTTCACTTTTCTTCAGGGCGTATTGTGATTAGTAATGGGTTAGTAAATTGGGTGCCACAAGTCCTCAATGGTGAAACTTGATTTTATGGGCAGTATATTCGTCTCGGTTGAATTTATTAGTTGAAGATTGAGGCAGCTGACATGTATTTCACTGTCACTATGATGAATATTAAGGTGTTTTTTGTCATTTGTGCTATATGCGGACAACTATCTACTGTGTTATAAACTGCACTCTCAATCTTACATACACTTATGTCGATCAATCTCATTTTTCTTTTAGTTTACGTTTACTTTCTGTGGCTGATATCTCACATGTAAATAGGTAAAATTATATCGTATTTCATTTTTCAGGTCTAAACGTCCAAATGTTCTATCAAAGTCGGTTGGTGTTGTCCCGGGACAAAAGTTTAACTGGGACAAACCAGTAGGATTGAAATGAACTAGATCATTTGGCTTCTCTCGCTCCAACTATTCAGTAGTTGAGTACATAACGTGATTTAGATTCGTTTCACCCAACGTAAAGTGCTTTTTCTTGTTTTAGACTTCATCCACTAAGTATTACATAGCCCTTTGTTACTCGTAGTAACGTAAAATATATGTACATTTCATACTTTGGTCTCGCCTCTTCTGTGCATTGTTATTGTTAGTGGTTTTGATGATACCTAATTTACGTCCATCCAAGGCATGAATTTGACGTTTGTTGATTGCCTTTGTTAATAAAATAGTAAAAGTGTCTTTCGTAGTATCTAATTTCCCAAGACAATTTTTTTTCGAGATTCAGAATGCTAATGACCATTTTCCTTTTATTTAAAGTATTATATGGGCGGTCGGTTACTGATGTATTGTTTATTTCACTCTATATATCTGGGCAAACTATTTCAGATCTTAACAATAATTTTTCAGTTGAAAATTCAACGCTGTTTTGAGAAATACCATCTAAAGTGTCCAACCATTGACTAACTTCACATCCAAAACCTCATTTGGAAAGCTTGAATCACTTTGCATGGTTCAGGACAATAGTCGATGAATGTACAGACTTATTTCACAACTAACCTGGTTGCCTCCACCCTGTGTAAAACCTATTCGTACATTAGACAGGTTAGCGCTCAACGTGGTTGATGGCTGGGGACTGACAGAGTGTATCCGACTGTGATATTCATTAAAATAGTATCAGATTCTGTTATCCTTTGGATGGTTTAATAAAAAAATAATATTGACTTCTCGATTCGAAGTAGATTATCCGTTTTTTAAACAATAGTCGTGGGTCCTAGATTATTAAGTATAACATTGCTAAACAAGTTTCTGATACCAAACATAATTAATTAGAGGGACCACGTCACCATAACATTGCTGAACGGCTGGATAGATGTTAAAAAAGTGTGTAGTAATTCTCAAACCAAGTTGTCACATCTTCGTGAAATATAGCTGAAAAGATACATAGACAGACAGTCATTATTAACAGGTGTGCTCTGGCCAAAGTTTCCATAAGTGATCAACACTAGATGAAAATAAAAAGATATCGAAACAATATGGTCGTGGTATTAAGAATGAGGACTAGACTATGGGAATGTGATTTGAAAAGAATGTGGGAAGCGGGATCATGAATTTCAAGATTTCAGGAATAAAGAGTGAATGCATCTGCGTCACTGTGAAGGATTCCCAGCCATATCATCCAGATTCTGTAACCCCTGGTAGCTGTTATCACGCGAATACTAACCAGGTAGTCTGAACCTATCTACAGGGTTCAGATCAACAGTCAGTGACTTCATGAATTGATGCTAATTTTGGTTTTAGCGCCCCTAGCTTTCTTTCAACCTATTTCTGCACTGGTGAGCATCGCTTGTCGCGATAGGCAGTATTTTGGACATGTCGCAACCAACACAGTTGACGGAGATTCACTATCTCATCAACCAATTTACTGCCTTTTCCAAGTAGCTTTACCTGATTTCAACATTGCTTATTCGGTCGTCTCACGAAACGAAAGGAATGCTTTGAAGGCACCTATCTTCATAAATTTTTATCCTACGTATGTATACTACTTCGTAGATCATGTTTCTCAGCAATAAGGTGAAACGGAGCGGACCTGTTGTCATTTTCTTTTCCTTTCACTAGCCACTAACGATCGCTGTGTGGGTTTTTGTTAGTTTATACTTGAGTTGTCGTTGCTCTTTATCGTTCTCCGAGAGACGAAATGAGTTTTCGAGTTTCTATAAACTCACTTGGTTCCACTGGTCTTTCCTAACTTTTATTTTAAGCTGTTAGTGAATGTCAATACGGTATTTGCAGATCCTATTTTAAGGTTTTTCAGAATGAACTGTTTCTCTGCGATCGACTAAGTTCCTAGCTAATTCTTTCATAAATGCATCCTTCCCTGTTCCATATTCGAATTGATATCTAAGGCATCTTCTTGCTGTGCATTCCCTACGTCTAGCAAAACGTATGGTAATACATGCTCTCACTTGGATGTGGTCAGAGTTCAAGCATTTACCTCAGTGAGAGCAGCAGTCTCCTATAGAGCTTCTTCAACAATGGCTGATGGTGATACGATCTATCTATATCCTTTGTTGTGTTGATATTGGGAGTCGCCATGTTAGACAATGTCTTTACATATGCTTAAAGTTTGCACCTGCTAGGAATAATTGATTGAGCGAAATTGCAGCAGGCGGTTATCGTTAGGCTGGGACTCCATAAGATCCATTAAAATTTTTTTGAGTTTGACTCAACCAACCAATTTGGGTGTTAAAAATCGCCTGTTACGACTACTGCATCTAAGGCTGTAACTTTTTGAAGGTCATAAATTTTTCTATAAGACTCGTCTACTCTATCTGAGCTGCAGTCAGTGGTGCTACTGGCCGAAACGATAAAGAGGCAGTGACGCGTGTCTCTATCTTAAGTTGTTTTTATGCCATTGAGATGGACAGTACATAAGTAATTGGCGACAAGAAGTCCCTATCCAGGTTCCTAATACGGTGCTGTACTTACTCCGGCAAGACTACGAGTTGCTGTCGCGTCTCTGAATACACGAAGGGTATATCGCGTCGGTTTTCCATACTGTTATTTTTACGTGTGGTTTACACCATCTTCCTAAGTATCTAGAACTGAACTTTAAGTAGCTTGCCATGATTCCCTCTAGTGATTCACTTCATTTTAATCCTTTTTTGTTGGGCCCACTATTTACAGTAAAACATTTCTTCATTCAGATCTAGTATAAAATCCATAGTGTATGCCTTTGTGTCGAAAGGGGTATTTTTGTGTAGTCCTGAAGTAGTGCCTTTTAGTCGTGATAAGTTCATGGTGTAGGCGCCAATTATTTCTAGATATTCAGTGGATTCGTAATTTAGTGTGTTAACTAACTTAAACATTACTTGAATGGTTACTGTTCCAAGCTGTTGCTTATGTGCACAGTACATACCCATTAAGAGGAAAAGGCATAATTTGTAGTGTTAAAGAACTTTTGTATCATTCTGAAATAACGTAAGAACTGTGACACATTGTTCCGTAAACATTTCACTTTTCTTCAGGGCGTATTGTGATTAGTAATGGGTTAGTAAATTGGGTGCCACAAGTCCTCAATGGTGAAACTTGATTTTATGGGCAGTATATTCGTCTCGGTTGAATTTATTAGTTGAAGATTGAGGCAGCTGACATGTATTTCACTGTCACTATGATGAATATTAAGGTGTTTTTTGTCATTTGTGCTATATGCGGACAACTATCTACTGTGTTATAAACTGCACTCTCAATCTTACATACACTTATGTCGATCAATCTCATTTTTCTTTTAGTTTACGTTTACTTTCTGTGGCTGATATCTCACATGTAAATAGGTAAAATTATATCGTATTTCATTTTTCAGGTCTAAACGTCCAAATGTTCTATCAAAGTCGGTTGGTGTTGTCCCGGGACAAAAGTTTAACTGGGACAAACCAGTAGGATTGAAATGAACTAGATCATTTGGCTTCTCTCGCTCCAACTATTCAGTAGTTGAGTACATAACGTGATTTAGATTCGTTTCACCCAACGTAAAGTGCTTTTTCTTGTTTTAGACTTCATCCACTAAGTATTACATAGCCCTTTGTTACTCGTAGTAACGTAAAATATATGTACATTTCATACTTTGGTCTCGCCTCTTCTGTACATTGTTATTGTTAGTGGTTTTGATGATACCTAATTTACGTCCATCCAAGGCATGAATTTGACGTTTGTTGATTGCCTTTGTTAATAAAATAGTAAAAGTGTCTTTCGTAGTATCTAATTTCCCAAGACAATTTTTTTTCGAGATTCAGAATGCTAATGACCATTTTCCTTTTATTTAAAGTATTATATGGGCGGTCGGTTACTGATGTATTGTTTATTTCACTCTATATATCTGGGCAAACTATTTCAGATCTTAACAATAATTTTTCAGTTGAAAATTCAACGCTGTTTTGAGAAATACCATCTAAAGTGTCCAACCATTGACTAACTTCACATCCAAAACCTCATTTGGAAAGCTTGAATCACTTTGCATGGTTCAGGACAATAGTCGATGAATGTACAGACTTATTTCACAACTAACCTGGTTGCCTCCACCCTGTGTAAAACCTATTCGTACATTAGACAGGTTAGCGCTCAACGTGGTTGATGGCTGGGGACTGACAGAGTGTATCCGACTGTGATATTCATTAAAATAGTATCAGATTCTGTTATCCTTTGGATGGTTTAATAAAAAATAATATTGACTTCTCGATTCGAAGTAGATTATCCGTTTTTTTAAACAATAGTCGTGGGTCCTAGATTATTAAGTATAACATTGCTAAACAAGTTTCTGATACCAAACATAATTAATTAGAGGGACCACGTCACCATAACATTGCTGAACGGCTGGATAGATGTTAAAAAAGTGTGTAGTAATTCTCAAACCAAGTTGTCACATCTTCGTGAAATATAGCTGAAAAGATACATAGACAGACAGTCATTATTAACAGGTGTGCTCTGGCCAAAGTTTCCATAAGTGATCAACACTAGATGAAAATAAAAAGATATCGAAACAATATGGTCGTGGTATTAAGAATGAGGACTAGACTATGGGAATGTGATTTGAAAAGAATGTGGGAAGCGGGATCATGAATTTCAAGATTTCAGGAATAAAGAGTGAATGCATCTGCGTCACTGTGAAGGATTCCCAGCCATATCATCCAGATTCTGTAACCCCTGGTAGCTGTTATCACGCGAATACTAACCAGGTAGTCTGAACCTATCTACAGGGTTCAGATCAACAGTCAGTGACTTCATGAATTGATGCTAATTTTGGTTTTAGCGCCCCTAGCTTTCTTTCAACCTATTTCTGCACTGGTGAGCATCGCTTGTCGCGATAGGCAGTATTTTGGACATGTCGCAACCAACACAGTTGACGGAGATTCACTATCTCATCAACCAATTTACTGCCTTTTCCAAGTAGCTTTACCTGATTTCAACATTGCTTATTCGGTCGTCTCACGAAACGAAAGGAATGCTTTGAAGGCACCTATCTTCATAAATTTTTATCCTACGTATGTATACTACTTCGTAGATCATGTTTCTCAGCAAT